AAAATTGTAATAACCTCAGCTATACTCAAAAGCTTCACCGAATCACACGAAAATTACTATAGGGACTTAAGACTCTGTATGTTACATAATATATACTGTATGCTACATAATATATAAACTACATAATTGTACGAACCCGGCCTCCTTAGGCAAATTAGAACCTAGGTAAAAATAACAATGTTTGGAAAGTTTTTCTAAATTTCTAACTTAAAAAGGAAAGCAATCCAAAACTTATTGATGTGCTTTAGAAGAGTAGTAATTCAGCTTTCCAACGGTTGTACTAACTTTAAATTTGACAGGAAAAAAAGTTTATGACGTATCGATCTCTTGCAGAGAATTGGAATTATGATAGAGATGGAAGAAAAATCCACGAATAGTGATAAACTAAAAAAATAATTAACATTTTTATAAGTATAACGATATTTTTTCGAACACATTTGGCCTAAGTAGCCTATATTATTTAAGGCCTATATTATTTTTATATAGATCACGCCAAACAGCTCAATATTTTTGAAGGACTGCTTTTTTTTCTCGATTTTGTGGTCAAATTACCTTATGATTCAAGTGGAAAGGAAATGGGTATTTTCGAGTTCTTAGCACCTCATTAAATAGACAATGTTTGGCGATCTACAGATTGAAAACGCCCCAATTCCGAGAATTTTCGTAATATTATAAAATATTTGTAGGTTACGATGAGATAAAGCTGTTTACGAAATTTCAGACGGATGTAAATAATTTGATAAAAAGGAGTCTGTACCACGGACTATTATGAATTAATGATAAATAAATTCAGTACGTTTACTAATTTGCGCTATTAAGAAATAGAAATAACAGTAGTAAATACTAGATATGTAATAATAATATTACAAAACAATACTCTTACGTATACCTACTCAGAAGATTAATTGTTGAGGAGATAAAGAATCGATTGTTATTAAAATGATATATTTTTTTATGCCTGAAATTTACAACTGTATACAAATAAATATACATAAAGTAAATAAGATACAGAGAAATACAATGACATGGAAAGACTTGTAGAGAATTTACCCATTAGCACTAAAAATGATCTTAAATATGAGGTTTTACGTATGGAAGTGGATAAGGAATTCCAAAACAATTTAGTAAACATGATAAAGGATTTTTTTTGAAAAGAGGAGTTCTTTAAAAAGGAATGTAAAGGTAATTGTGTTGGGTCCTCTTGTTTAAAGAGTGAACGAAAGATCAGGGGTGAACAAATCAAGGATGTGAGGTTTTTTTGTTTTAAAGGATCGGTAAAGGTAGATGCTTAGGAAATATTGCTACTAAAAAAATTAATAGAGCCACTTTAATTCGCCATACCAATTGGATATGTGGGAGCTTCGAAGATAAATATAATGAAACAATGCATTTGTCTCATTTCATGCTCACCAGGCAGTCTACGATATTCAAGCTAGTTATACTGGGTGTTTCAGGGTTAAGTGGTCAATCTTCAAAAATGAACTAAGGACCTCAAAAAACGAAAAAAAAATACTCTGAAGATATGTCCGCAAACGCTTTGTTTAGGAGATGTTCACACTTAAGGATGTTCTTTGTTATCAATTATTTACGTTATATGAAATAAATAAAACCTATTTATTAAGATCATTGACCGGACTTGCATAGACTTTTCGTTTAATGTCACCTCAAAAAAAAACTAAATAAACAGTGATGTTAGGTCCGCAAACCGTGCAGGCCAAGCCACTAGTCCTGCACGGCCAATCCATTGATTGTGATACGGGATATGATTGAGCAAGTCCGGTCAATGACCTTGATTCCTTACGGAGAAGGATAATTGAATCTTGTGAAACAACAACACATATCCAGTGCCGTTCTGCCACTGCTGCTGTTGAAGAAAGATGCCGAGCCTGTCATAATGCTCAAGGAAATCATTTTAAACAACATTTAATATGAATTTTAATGTTGACATTTAATTAATAAAGTAGTTAGAACAAATAAATAGGTTTTATTTATTTCAAATAATGTAAGGAATTCATAACATCGAAAATCTTTAGATGTGAATATCTCCTAAACAAAGCGTTTGCGGACATACCTTCAGAGGAAATTTTTTTCTTGTTTTGAGGTCCTTAGTTCATTTTTGCAGTTTCGTCACTTTATTCTGAAACACCTTGTCTACAGTAATGGAAAATGAGAGGAAACTAGAATTTGATGGGTTATGACGGATGTGTGATCACGAAATGTTAGAAGCCATTTGAGGGTAGCAATGTATTTTATGGTGAATTGAAAAATGAGTATTTCAGAACAGGTACTGATCAAATATTATTCTGAAGGTTCCTAACGGAAGAGTGGTAGCGAAATACTATTTTTTTTTTTTTTTTTATTCGATTTGTCGATGATTATTGCTGGGTTCTTTTTTCATATAAAATTCCGATGCTAATCAGATATTCATCAGGTGCATGGAAAATACCAATGCGTATATAAATCCTAAAAAATTTCATTTTCCGTTTTATTTAATATCTTTCCATTATTATGTAGGCTTGCATCTGTCAGTTTTCTCAGGAGGAAGAAGACAACAGTAATGAAATGGTCTTCGTGTTAAAAAAGTGGCGAAAGATATTAAAGGAGGAAAAGGGATGATGAAGGTAGGGCCGAAACAATATCCTCTCCCCCCCCCCTCCTCCCTCGCCTAACTGTTAGTTAATTGTCCCTCTGGGGTCCAGTTTATAATAATTTCCTCTCTCTGAACCCCAGCCCTTTATTCTCGCTGAGTTTAATCATAAATCAGTTGTCGTCTTCTATAGGAGCCATAATTCGAATTTAGAATAAAGATACCCCTTTCATGTCGGCGCTTTTATGGGCGTTGACCTTTTACAACTGTTTGACTTAGACAATTGAATGATTAACGCTAGGTTAAAGGCGTAATAATTTGATAATTACTGTTGTTGTTGGGTAATAGTCGTATGTTCAGACAATGACCAAAGAAAGATTTTCAGAACGTCAAAATTTCGCTGCCACATTTCCCTTAAGAAACTTGAAGGCAATATTCGATCAATACCTATCTTGGAAAAATACTTCCCAATTTACCAGAAAATACATTGCTACCTTCAAACAGTTTCTAAGATTCTGTGACTCCACAACCATTATAACTTGTCAATTCCTAGTTTCTCCTCTCATTTTTCTCTGCCTAGATTACACTTCTTACTTCACTCACTACCTTGAATACCATGGACTGCCCTTTAAGTAATTGAATGATAAACGCTAGATTAAAGGCATAACAATAAGATAATTACAGTTGTGGTTGGATAATAGCCACATGTTCAGACAAGGACCAAAAAAAGATTTTCAGAATGTCAAAATATACTGCCACATTTTCCTTAAGAAACTTTGAGGTAATATTCGATCAATACCTATCTTGGAAAATCATATTTCCCAGAAAATACATTGCTACTTTCAAACAGTTTCTAAGATTCTGTGACTCCACAACCACTATAATCTGTCAACTCCTAGTTTCACCTCTCATTTTTCACTACCTACATTGCACTTCTTACTTCACTTACCACCTTAGACTGTCCTTTGAGCAATTGAATGATAAACGCTAGATTAAAAGCATAGCACATTTTCCTTAAGAAACTTTGGGGTAATATTCAATCAATGCCTATCTTGGAAAATCATATTTCACAGAAAATACATTGCTACTTTCAAACAATTTCTAAGATTCTGTGACTCTACAACCACTATAACCTGTCAACTCCTAGTTTCACCTTAAATTTCCCACTACCGACTTAACTTACTATCTTTACACTAATTACTTTATTTACTACCTTGATTACTGGACTGTCCTTTGAGCGTAAAATGAATGAACGGAAGAGACAAATGGTTTGTTTCATTATCTTTGTCTTTGCAGCCCCCTGGCGCTCCCATGTTCCAATTAGTATGGCGAGTTGAAGTATCTATATCCAGTTTTTCAACAGCAATACTTAACTGATTCTATGAAAGAAAAAAGCTTCCTTAAATCCTCAATTTGTTAATCCTTTCACTCTCTTAAACACAATTCATATACAAATTTGCAATCTTCCAACTCAATTTGGGGAGAATGTAAAGGTGCATAAAAATTTAAAAACCAGTAACAATTGCGAATAAAATGGCGGTGGTGGGAGAAAAAGTTTATAACCTCAAAAAATTCATCAACACCAACTCAAGTAACATAAAATTTCAACCATCTTACTTTATCAGAAGGAACTGTGGAGATGTGCAAAACTATTGAAACTCTAATGGAATTTTAATGAAAAGAACCACACTTTAGCTTATTTGATCTTAAGATGGCCGCTGGTAATTTCAAAATGTAGAGTAGAAAAAAAATATATTTATAATAAACAACATGTTTTGGTTATTCATTTATATTGAGATCTTGATTTAATTATTACATTTAATCAAGAACCTTTTAAACGTTTTTCATAATGAAATTATATGTTTTATAAAAAAATATTTTATAAATAGATTGTCAAAATATTGACATTTGTACAACATTGTCAGGATAACCTTCTTTTACAAACAAAAGAAAAAGGCAAAGTGATTGTGATAAGAAATGGAAAAAGAAAGTTGTTTCATTTTAAAACATTTGAAAATGGCATCAAAGCCAAAATATCATAGTATGTATATTGAAATAAAAGCATCTACATTGTTGAAATAAAATTATGGTAGTCTTTGTAAAATCTTAATCAATTATTAATTTAATGTTGTAATAAATTTTATATATAAATATCCTTTAATATGTTACAAAAGTCCATTACTTTCAGGACCAATGTGTAAAACTAAAGTCTTAAGTTTTACTGTTTGGGAATATATTTTAATTATATTTAAAAAAACTTTTTTTATTTAAATGAATTTTATTATTATTTTTATTTAGCTAAAATGGAAATCGATATGCAATTCTTGGTATCTATGGTTTCTTTCTAATTGATGATTTTTTTCATTATTCAGAGTTATTGTAAATCCAAAATCCTGGAATAAGGACAATTAATAAGATAGATAAAGAGATTTATTTTAATAAAATAATTACAAAAGATTAAAGATTAGGAACAAAAATAACAATACTCTACAAGGTACATTAAAACTACTATACTAAAATATAAACTCTCTATATTAGTAAAAAATAAAAATATCACATTTTGAAAGCAAAAGGTAAAACTTACATCAATCATCATGATATGATAAAATGGTCAACCAAACATTTACAAAAATAGGTACAAAAGTAAATATACAAGATAGAAAACTTTACTGAGATTCTTTGACCCAGAGCTGTTCAATAAAACAGCATAATTCACAAAAGACATACATAAAAATGCTATCCCCTGAACCAAACCATTAAAGGAGGCATGTAATTAGGGGCACGGACGTAATTATAGAAAGGAATCAGCTGAGAATATAATTTATGTCATGTATTGCGTCTACTACGGTACTTAGCACGTTCGAAAAGCCAATTGCTGCGAGACTCGCTTTTTCTCATTTTTGATCTGTGACTGCCAATTTTTAAGAACCAGCATCGTTCTGTCGAGTCAGATTCTAAAGATTCATCTATATTTTCTTCCCGTTTTGGCAATCTACCTTCTGTGGTTTTCTGGGGTTCCTCTTTTCTGTTTTTAAAGGTTTTTCCTTCACAGGCTGTTTCAACTCCTTGCACCTTCTTGCTGAAAGATGAAAATGAATTAATTTTTTCATTACTTGAAGGGTCTTTGTTTAAATCATTTTCCATACCTTTTTCTTTAATAGCATTTTCATATCTCTGATCCGAATCCTTCACAGGTCTTTCTTGTTTCGTAAACTTCTTTTGATCTGGATATTTTTTTTTCTTATTTTTATTATGCAAAGATTCTTCCTCCTTTGGACGTTTGGCGTTTTCATTACTATTCTTGTTGGCTGAAACAGGTTTTTTCAAATTTGCTTTATTTACAATTTTTTTACCTGTTTTCCACTCAGATGACTCATTGCTGACAGGTATCTCTTCAGATCTATTGGTAACATTGACAGCATCATCCTTCAATATATTATTAACATCTGGCTCTTCGCTTCCACTCAATTGAATATTAGGATCCAACATGTCTTCAGAAATACTCGAATATGTTTCTTCAAACTGTTCATAAGGCTTGATAAAAGTTTCATAACATTCTTGTTTCTTCATGCCGTTTAAGTTACACAATTTGTTATAGAATCTTTTTTGAGTGTATTTCATATGTTTAACAAACTGCCTTACCATTTTCAGCTGCATGGCTCTCATATCTTCGACTATTTTCTCATTCACAAAACTTAGCTTGGATTTCCAGGCATTAATAAATAACTCAATATTTTTATTAGTAGAATTAAAATTATATAATACTGTCAAGTGTCTGGGTATTTGATAAAATAGTTTAACGGCTTCCATATTGTTTTCCCTCTCCTTACCACTCGTGAAATTGTATATCATTTCTTGAATAAATATGGCAACATGTCCATAAGAGGAATTCATTTCATTATGAAATATACTCCCATTGTGGTACTTTTCTATATGAATATTTAACAATTCCTGAAATAAAATATCCTCTTCACTTGGAACTCGATTATTTTCCTCTTTTTTGTTTGCCGAAGAGCCATTTTTATCAGCAAATTTTAAAGAAAATGCCAGTTCCTTTTTTAGATTTTCTACAGCTGTAAACAAAGATATAAATCAATGAGAACAATGAAAAAAAAAAGATTTTAATGAAATTAAAATTAAATTATTTATGAGATTTATGATATCTTAGTAGAATATCATGAGGGTAAAAAAAAGAAAAAAGCTCAAATATGCATATACAAAAAAATATTTAAAACTATTTGCTATAAAATAAAAATAAAATTTAATTAGAAAACAAATACCACCAAAGCCCATTCAATAACATGTAATAAGTGTAAACAGTACCTACGAAATTAATTTTGAAAAATTGAAATCATACCTAGAATTTAAAATATTTTTCTTGGTAAGTAATTTGCAATTATCGCAGTTGTTTTTTTTAATATATATTTTGAATTTTATTATTGTTTAAAGATATATTTTGAATATTCAACTATTGCAATTTTTAAATTATGTGTCAGACATGTTTTAATAACTGAAAGAAAATAAAATTTGAAAACAACCTACCGCCACTCAAATCAGTTACTACAGATCTCAAATTTTTAGCTTCTGCCTCATACATTTTCAGCTGTGCCATAAGCTCATCTAGAGAAAACAAAATGATAGGTGTAACTACATTCAATTAGAACAGAACATAAAACAATTCATTATTATCATGAGAGACTAAAGAAACATTGTATTAATTATTACATGCCACATTTTACATTATTATATTGTTTAAAAAATCTATATCCATTATTTTTAATTTAGCCAGGATTTTTTTTTGTATTGGTATAACTCAAGAATTAAAAAAATAATCACTTTAATATATACAGCTAACTTTCGCAAAAGAAACTTATATTCATGAAACAATCGAAAATCAAAGCAGGGTTTGTAAGACACGCAGTTATCAACAGAAATGACAATTTTCACAGAGAATATTTTAAAGCTAAAAAATTATGATAAAAAAATAAAATTATATTAATTTACTAAATCATGGGTAATTCATAGTAAAATTTATATTAAAAATCTAAGCTTACTATATTCAATGTTTTTATTTGCTTCTTGATCATATCCAGGTACTAAGTAGTGAAATGTATCTAAAAAGAAAAAGAAAATTGGATATAAATTTATATTCAAATCTGTTAGAATTAGATTTACCTAAAGAATAATTTTCCTAAATGTTCATTCTTCATTGGAAAAATTACTTATAGAACCTTAATCACTTGAAGATAATTATGTGGGAAATAATTCATGAAAATTTTAGATATCCATAAAAGTAAAGCTTTAATTATAATATTTTCAAAACTAATTATATTAATAAATAATTCTCTCAACAATCCATATCTTTCAATTATGACCATTAGTTTGATATTCGTGTGTCAAAAGATTTCCTCGTATTTCAATAATAAAAAAAAAATGTCTAACATATTTAAGATTTAAAAATACTCATATTTGCTCGAAAATATGATAGAAAATATAAGTTGACTTATTTCGAAAATAATTATCAGAAAATAATATATTAAAGAGCAAAAAGTAAACTACTAATAAGAAATAAATTTTCAAATTAAATATAACCATCTCAAAAAGAATCAAACATGGTTAAATTAGACTGATTAGTAGCGGAGTGTTTTTTTTTTTTTTAATTTATGTATTTCTTTTAAATAAAACATTTTTTTTATTTATTATTAAATTTTTTAAATTATCTCATTATTTTTAAATTTGTGGAGCGGTTAAAATTGACAAAATAATAAGGCATTAAAATGAAAATGGATCTCTTAAATACCTAAATATCAAACTTGAAAATTGGTGGAACTGTAAGCTCAAAGTATCATCACATATCTACAAACGTTCGAACTAAATACTTTTGGCTACACTGTGGACTGGTAAAAAGAATAGGTGAAAAATACAACTATTGGTATTATTTATCTATAATTTTATTAATTGAAGGAAGCTAGTCGACTGTTCTACATATCATGGGTGATGAATATTCAGGACAGTCTTTTAAAAAAAAAAAATTTTATTTTTTATTTGTGCCAACTTTTCAACCCAAACATGCGGGTCATCTTCAGGGTGCGGTTCGAGCACTGAATGCTTTCAAGTACTCCGAAATATATTTCTTTTAAGTACTGAGTACTTTAAAAAAAAAAAAATTTAAAATACTGAGTCCTGAATATTTATCACCCATATAATTTTAATAATATATTTTGTTTAAATGATTTTCCGTACTCAAAAACTCCAAATAATATGACTTAATGAATAAATATAAGTAAATGCAGATTGATCTTAAACAGATTGTTTCAGTGATCTTCATTAAGAACAAACCAAACGAAAAATAAGTTGCTTCTTTGGTGACTCAAAGGTAATAAAAATAAATTATCAATTCAATTATCTTTAAATCGAAATAATCTTGAAAATCAGTCTGAATCTACAATCAAATTACATACACATTTTTTGGTTATCACCAATATTGTATTACATTTAAAATTTAATGAAAAAATTAAATAACTTGATTATCCCCTTTGGATTGCATTAGTAAAAAGAAAGATAAAAAAAACTAACCAACAGCCATATCTTCGACTTTCATTAAGAAGACCCAGGCCGTAGCTCCAGCAAGTATGATAGCAAGTATCACGGATACAAATCCCATTACATTAAGCAAATTCCAAATTATCGTATAGTCAGCTCCCACTGTCCTTCGACTTTCGAAATTTTCTTCGGGGAATGATTGCTCATCTTGTAATCCTGATGCAATGATAGCATTTTCGTGTTCACCCTTGGGAGAATGTTCTTCTAATTCAATTTTATCTGTAAAATAATTTTAAATAAATTAATTTAATTATGTGAACGAGGTAGTTTAAATCTTTGTAAAACCCAATAGTAGTAAATTTATTTTATTTTCAATATGCCATAGACTGATTCTAGAGTTGATAGATTTCCTTGCTACCATCTGAACATGGATGGTTGATCACAAATATCATTCCTAACAACAATTGGTCAAGATAAGACCCTTGATGTAGTGTAGTGATACATTTTTTTTTTTTTTCTTAAAAAATAATAGCATGAAAAGGTCTTTTCAATACAAGGAAATCATTTTTAAAATTACAAGTGAAGTCCAAACAATAAGCAAAGCAAAAAATTCCAAACAAAAAACAAGTGAGTTTCTCATTGACGAAATTGTGAATCCACATCCACAGTATTATATATATATATATATATATATATATATATATATATATATATATATATATACATATTAACGGCCAATTGAAAATTCTCTTGTATTGTTTGATATTTTCCTTAATAATATTAGTAAAAAAAATAATTCCAATAATCCAATTTAATTAAACAAATCGAAGAATTCTAAAGGGAAACTGATTTTTCGATGACATTCTTTATTGCCTTGCTGATTTTACATAACGTTTTTTAGAACATATTCTATAGTCTTGAAAAGATGTTACTGGGAACTCTATATGCTTTTAACTTCAATTTTGAGGTTTAGTATTTCTATATTGTTGAACTCGAATGGATAACCTAATCAAGCAAGAACATCGAGCCATGTGAACAGTTCACAACTAAAAATTGATAATTTATAATTCTAACTACTTTACTAATTAATAAATTGTTATTGTATTCAATCGTGATCATATGATACAACCAGATATTCAGTAAAAAAATAAAAATAAGAAAGGAAAGCACTTCGATTGTCAATAACCTTACGTTTACACAAGACTTCTGCATTATTGATGAGGACAGCTAAAAATAATATACTAGCTTCTTATTGATTTTAAGAGTGTTGCAAAGAAAGCATTGTAAGATCTTTCCATATCGAAACAGCATTACTTTATGTTTTTATAATTTGGTAAAACCGTGTACCTTTAACAGTGTTTATCTGTAACAGTATTTTACAAGTGGATAAATCACCATTAAAAAATCTATGAAAATGATATAAATAAAACATAAAAACAGAAATAATTTAAATGTAGTGTTGTGGAATAACATTTTCTAAGCTTTTTGTGTGTTAGACATTAAAAAATATACACATTTCCTCAATTAATGATATAAAGGAAATTTATTTTGAGGGAGTTTTATAATTATATAAATAATTTAATTTGTTTTATAAATAATTAAATAGTTTTATAAATATAAACAAAATATAACTGACTGAGTAGATATTGTGAATTTAATTAATATTATCAGCCAATATTGTTTATAAAATAACTAATAAAAAAATATTCCAATTTAAAAATAAAAATTAAAACAAGTATTTCAATAATTAGAAAATACAACAAATGAAATGTTCGGATGATTTTGAAACTATAAACATAAAGAAAAAAAAGAACAAGAAATAATTTGTTCAACAATTTATTTTAGCTAAATAATTTAGTATTATTCAACAAACATCTCAATGAAGGTTAATTAATAATAAATTAAATTATTGCATTTTTTTGGAAAAGTAAAATCAAGGCATTTATTTAAATAAGGGCACAAATATACATATGTATCACTAATTTGTTTTTTGCCATTTTTATTCCTTATCAGTTTTAAAAAAGGATTAAGAAGTCTTTTTCTATAATACATTTGAGCCATTATAAACATATATATTATTTAAATAATAAATGTGGAATGTAAATGAAACTTATGTAAATAAGAAATATACATATTTGTGTAACTATTTTATTTTTATTATGTCATATTTATTGAAATAAAGTCAGTTTAAAAAGAGGATAATGTTTAAAAAAAAAAAAATATTTTCCCATAATACATTTGAGCCATTATAATCATATTTGTAATTTAAATATTGCATATTAAATAGAAATATTCGTAAGCAAAAAATGAATAGTATAAATTTTAAGTACATAAAATAAATAATGAACTTTGTTTTTTTTGTCAGACATATCCTCCAAAATTATTAAATTTAAAATAAATGAATAAATAATTATCAAACTTACTTTTAAAAATTAAAACAACAGATTTTGAGTAGTGGTATTTTTAAACAAAATGAATAAATACTTTCAAGTAATCAATAAAATATAGTTCATTCAGCAAATCATTTAGTGTCAATTATGTAAAAATGTCATTAAAATATTTAATTATCTAGCAGTTTGAAAGAGAATCTATTTATATAAACAGGAAGCCATACAACTGTCAACAGTAACAGAATTGTCTAAATAAGGTAATCATTTTGCGACATGTTAAAAAAAAAAGTATGTAAATTGGAAAAAATATTCATTATGAATTCTAAGCATGTAGAGAATACAAAATAAAGGTGAATGATGACAACTAGAGATACACTGAAACTATGATTCTCTTGCTAACTAATAGAAGATAAAAATAACTCCAAATTGTCGATTAAATATAAAATTCATGATAAATTACCTTTTTGTTCATCTGTCTCTTTTTCTGCTGTGTTATTTCCAGCTTCTTCATCAATGACCTCAATACTCTCTCCATCACTACCTTCAGATATATTGTTGACATCATTTCCATCAACAATATTCCAACTTTCAGACAGACTTGATTCACTGATATCCTTCTCTTTTACTGTCTTCTCATCCATCATCAATGTAGTGTTCAGTTCATGGAATTAAGAATGAAACTGTCAGCAAAAATGTAAACACAGCCATTACAAGCAACAAATTAAGTAACCTGAGATAGCACTGTTGCAACCTCCAGATAGCTCTGACAGTCTTGTGAGCACTTTAGGTTTTGAATTATTTTTTATAAATGTAAATTGTTTTCTTAAATTGTCGTTAATTAATATCGTTTAAGTAATTTGTAAATGAATTTGAAATCATTTGGTTTCTAAACAAGAATTAATTTGTATTGAAGGCACTAATTTTTTTTAAATAAATACAAATCTAATCTCCATAATTAAATTTAACCTGAAGGTTCTTTTATTTATCACCTGAAAAAAAAATTTAATCTGAACATTAGTAAGACCTTTTCAATAAATCACCATAAGTTGATTTTTTATAACATTTTTACTGTTATTATAAAAAATAATTTAACAATGAAGAAAAGTCCAGATTGGATTGCAATAAAATAAAAATGTTTACGAAACAACAGGTCCTTGCTTTTATCAGATTAAAAAGTTGTTAAATACTTTTTAAAAGTTTAAATCTCATAATAATTTAGTTTTTTACTTTAAAAATGTCTTTAATCTGGTTGTTAGAGAGAGAGATGTTGAAAAAATCACTATAATTTTATGGTTAATATAATAATTAGTTGGACAATGTTGAGATTTGATCACAAAAAAATATTAGAGCGTAATATATGAAACAGTGATTAACATAAACCTTACACGCACAAATAATGTTAGATATTTAAATTTAACAATTCATTGAACATTTAATTTTAAAATAAAATATTATTAAATGACATTTTGGAATCTGAAAAGAAAATTAAATTCCACTGATTATTAAAAATAAAATGTTTCACAACAAAAAAATATTTGATTTAGATTAATTTATTGAAAACTCTGTAAATAAATTCCAACATTTTTTTGACAATTTGGTTTATGTTGTAGTATATTATATAGAAAATAAAAATAAATTTTAAAACTATTAAAAAACTTATAGTTTTATAATCAAAGGATATTTGATCTTATATAAAAATAACACTCAATATTACAATAATCTTGTAATAAAGCATTTTTATTTATTTTATTTTATTTTTATAGAGAGAGTGGAGGAGAAAATTTTAACTTTTAATACTGTTTATAACTATTTTTATTATTTAATTTTTGTTAGTGGATAAATGTTTTAAATATGAATTATTTGATTTTATTTCTTTTTACAAATATTTTCTGAATGGATAATTCGTTTTTAACATGAAAAAAAAAACAATAATTATTAAGGTGTGTTTTGACATTTCACAAACTATGGGACAAACAAATGTACAATTGGTTATTTCAATGTGCTATCATTTTTTAAATTCTTTTTTGATATTTTCATTTGTTGTCAGTATCAAGAGAAATAAAATAAATAATTTGGTTTATCAATAATACCATTGTTAGTTGAATTAGAGAATTGTGTTTTCCATGGTTTGTGAAATGTCAAAACACACCTTTAAAGGTCGAAATGAGATTAAAATTGAAATTGAAACAGCTTTGTTCTAGTTCTCTTTATGACTTTGACCCAGATTAAAATGTTATGCTGAATGTTGATCAATGATAATACATTGTAGATAAGAGTATTTTGGGTATTTTAATTAATCTAGATATTGTTGTAAACAAACATGCATGAATAAGGAGAGATGTGGTGATAACAATGTTAAATAATAAGGTTCTGCAAAAAAAAAATGTTCATTCCCTTGAGTAGTTTTTCCTGATTTCTATATTTTCATGAGTGGAGAGTCAAAAAATTCTATCAGGCACGATTTTTCGGGAAATGGAGGTTGTTTTTGAAAAAAAAAAAAAAAAACTTAAATAGCATGCTTTTTCTTACTTAATTTATTTATTTTATCGTGAATAATAATATATAAAATATTTAATCCTGAGCATAATATGACCAGTATTTACCGCTATACATTAATTTATGTATGGCTAATTAATTTATGAATTAATTTTATGTACAGCCACACAGGCATTTATTCTGTATCTGTAATTTGTCCTAAAGGGACAACAGTCCCAGGATAATAAAAAATATTTTCATTTCATTTCATATATCTTCTCCATTGAGGCTATTTTCTTGATGAAACCATTTTCCATATTGATCTAGATCTGCTCCCAAGTTAGAAGGGATGAAATGAAAAGGAGTGCAAAAAAAAAAAAAATTCAATGACATGTATGTAAACACATGGCCTGATATGATAAAAGCAATTCTTTAACAATGTCTTTATAATATGTAGTTCTTTTGTTGCCCAAAAATTGTTGATACGCGTTTTCAAAATCAGGCCAAGATCTTTTTTTCAGCTTCATTTAATTCTTTGAATTCCAGGTCCTTAAATAGAGCGCGGATATGTGGCCAAAAAAAATCTTGAAGCTTGAGCTCTCTGATTTTTTTCATATTGTAATAATACTTTGTCATAGCTTCAAATTCAATTTTTTTTCGTTTTTCGTTAAAGTTTTTAATGACAAAAAAGGAGCAAAATATCGGAAAAAAAACTTAATTTTTTTACACAAATTTGACATGAAATGGTGCCTGATAGATATTCTCTTCCTTCGGATTCGTGTTCAGTATTCCTCAAAACACATAAAAACTTTCTGTTAAACGAAGGATTTTAATTAAGACTGTGTAATTTATTTTAATACTGTTCTTTTAAACTAGGTTTAGAACATCTTGGAATATATTTTAACGGTTGTTACTGAATATTTAATAAATAAAACCTCATAAATAGAGACAGTTATGCAGGTGCATTTTTAAAAGCAACTTTAACCTTGGAGTTCCGTTTATCTACCATTCACAATCTGGCACGGGTGAGCAAGACATTGCGTAACATTTATAATTCTATTGTCTAATCACGAATAGCAATCACCTCTTTAAAATATCAACAATGGAACTCTTTTGAAGCTTGATTTGAAGATTGTTCATTTTAACTCAAAACCTCTATAAACAAAGTGTAATAATTAACATTTAAATCATTGCCCATATTCTGCAATAGTCGATAGTCTTCCTATTTTTAAACTTGCACAGTTTTTTTAAAGTATTATTTACTTTATTATATATAGATACGTTAGTTCAATGGCTTGTTGCTATTTGCTATTATTGTAGATCGATTCTATCTTTAATAAAGTAACTTGAATTTAAGTTCACAAAAAAGAAACATTTTAATGGAATGATAATTTTATTGCATATACATAATTTCTTTTCAATCAGAAGAGCACATTACTGTTTTAATTTTAAAAATGTCACTTTTATGTATTTTGTTTTAGGGAATCTCAAATCTTAATCCGCCCCGAATTTTATATAGTCTATATACGAAACTATATTTATCACCTCACATTAATTTTTATTGAGCCTTGTTAAAGCGCGTTTAGACATTGGGAAACACAAATATTTAATTAACTAACAGCGACACTAGCGCTAAGCCAATTTTTTTTTAATTTCTTCTGTTACCGATATATTGCGATAGGAGATGGAAAAATTCAAAAACAAGAAAAGAAAAAAAACACGAGCATAGGTAAGCCACCATTATGATATTTGTTTTTTCCAAAGTTTGTGAAACGTCTAAACGTCCGTTTAGAGTCACTTATGCCCGAGAAATTTTTTTTTACATTTTCCCTTCTATTGAGTTTTAAACTGTAGTATTTGATTATCATTCTTTTCTGTTGAGGTAGTTCATTCTTGTTAAAACGTGAAACTGTATGTAAATAAAAAACGTAATTCAATAACATTAGATTAAACTGTTTAGAGACGGGTGTTGAAATCGTCTGAAGTTTTAAAAACCTGTTAGCGACAACAGTTCACGACATAAAAACAAAAAAACGTATAAATTATTCTATATCATTCTACATCAACCAATAAAACTAACACTATCAAATATAAATAATTTTTATAAACTATTATGTACCTATATATTTATATAAGAGCAAATAGCTCAAAATTAGAAATAAAATAATTAGGAAATAAATAGAAAAATCCAAACTACAAAAAATGAGTCTTTAACATATAAGTGAACAATTAACCTATCAACTTAATAGAATAAAATATGATTTTCAAGATTATATTATATTAAGAATGCTTATCAATATGAATCCTCATGACAAATATTAAAATGAAAAATCCACAGAAATTAAAACAAATTTAAAATACGAAACTTCCCTAACCGTATCACTCGTGTTAAGTAGGTTTTGACTGTATCTAGAGTGTTATCTTCATATAATATTATTATTACACAAACAATTATATCTGAATTTGCATTTTCATATTAATTACGGAAAAATTAAGCTAATTCAATTATTACTTTTTCTGGATTATTCGACATCATTGCTTAAGATGAAAAAGGTGTTTGAAACCGTTTCGACAATTGTAGGAATGAATTTAACTGATTTTTCAATTCAGCAGACATGTTTATTGATAAACATAATCTATGAGAGTATTATTAATAAACAGCAAACAATCTACCCTAGAGGTTATTAATCCCAAGATATGAGAAAATACAACATAACTTTCTGATCGGCTGAACAAGTTTCAACGAATCCTCAATTCAGGTGTAAATGTCAAAGAAACTGGATCGTCCACTTTTAACTACAGCTTCATAACTAGAAGTGAAAGTGATTCTATGGTGTATTCGTGTCAAATCAAATCATCCAATGAAAAATAAACTTTGAACCTGAAATGTCTTTGATTTAGATGATTTTTATTTTATTATTTTTTCTTGAGCAGTGTTTAAATTTGATTTTTAAAAATTATGTAAACATTCAAATTTCACATTTTTTTTATTTGTTCACAAAAAAAACTACTTCTAGTTTTATAATTGATGATGCTAGAGGGATGTTGGACAGCTCATTATATGCGTTTTGAGTTTATTTGCAACATAATTAAGTAGTGTAGGGTATAGTAGGGTTAAGTAGTGTTTTTAATTGTTTTGAAAATCTCAAAACGTAACGCATATAACAAAAAAATACATATGACATATATTTTTTAGGTTAAACAGAATGGAATGACGAGTAAATAAAATATATTCGTTAAGTAGGTGCTATATGATTCAATCACATAACAATAAAAAGTGAGGGTAAATTCCTAAGCTCAGCGCTGAGGGCATTGATGCGATCGGAAATACATCGAACCTTTCCAAAACCCATCTTTGGCATTAAATGCGTTTCTTTTTTAGGGATTGTATCACCGTTAACTCAACGGTTTTGGGATCGATGGATCCACTCGATGTTACCTCATCAAAATTTCCGTGTTGTTTTTTCTCAATTTGTATTTTTAAATTCAGTTTAATTTCTATTTACATATAT